AATCTTTTACCTGCCTTCTGACACTCCAATTCATATTGCTGTGTATTTCCCCCAATCTTACCCAATATCTCCCTTCCCACTCTCCTAAACCCTTTACTGTGCCCTCTGGAACTCCCAATCTGGGTCAAGTTCCCAAATTCCTGCTATAGTTTCAACATTTTAACTGCACCAAGTCCTGCTTCAACTGAAACTTGGATGTTCTCCTACTTAGCTCTTACATGCTGCAGCTGATTTGTTTTATATCCCACATATGACAAGATCAAGAAATAAGGAAAGGCTTTCCTCTTTCATGCTATCACCTATACTTTCCTGATCCTCCTTCCTTCAAAAATCCCAGTACCTATGAAGCTCAAGTAATTTACCTATTAAAAAAAAAAAAAAAAATGGCCCATTGAGTTCCCAAGGCTACAAATCCTTATGGAAATAGGCTCCCATACCTTTCTCCCACTGAACAGCTAGAGGGTTCAAACCTTCGACCTTTTAGTTACTACTTAATAATATCCTTCTTACTGTTGTTACCATCTACCAACCTCCTAATAATTTTTTTCTTCAGGAAAGATTTTGTTTCCTTCCTCTCAAACTCAATTCTTTGATCATTCTAACATTCACATTAATGACCAACCTCCTAATAATTTTTCTTCAGGAAAGATTTTGTTTCCTTCCTCTCAAACTCAATTCTTTGATCATTCTAACATTCACATTAATGACTCATTGAATACTGTGGCTTCTCAGTTAGCTTCTGCACTAATCAGCCATGCAAAATCTGGATTTCCAGCACACTACTATTCTGCCCTTTTCTTGTCCCCAGTTTAATTACTCTAATAACCCCATGATAATAATTCTTTCACCTGATATTTCCAATTACTCAGTCTACTCCCTTGCTCTACTATCCACCATCCTACTTCTCATTTCTCATCCCTCCTTCCCCAGCTTAGACTCCATGATCACTGTCATCAGCAATGCAAACATCCTCAACTCCTTTGCTTATCTTTCTCCTCATCCATACTTAGACCCCATTATCACCCTGCCCCAAGTCTGAGAAGCTGAACAGGAAAGGCAAAAACTACAGAGCTGAGCTCACTAATTTCCCCGTCATAAATGGGCATTCACTTGTTGTTGTTATGTGCCGTCAAGTTGGACCTGACACATAGCGACCCCCTCCTTGGGTTTCCAAGGCAGTATCACTACGGAAGTAGATTGTCTCATCTTCCTTCAGAGGAGTGGCTGGTGGGTTTGAACCGCCAGCCTTCTGGTTAGCAGTCAAGTGCCTTAGGCACTACACTACCAGAGCTCCTGGGCATTCACTAGGGCCTGGCAAACTTCCACATTTTACTAGTGCCATATTTTTTGCATGCAACACACCCACACATATAATATGCATAGGAAACTAACGTGTAAGGGGGTTATACAACCAGCAAAAATTATATAATGACACATTATTTGTGTAAAAATACAGTAAGTTTGTTTTCCCACTCTGAGTAACAACTATTTCGTATGTTCTTGCATCTCAAGACTCCTATACAACTCTTTTTCCACTCTCAGCTTATTCTTCACTCAGGAAATAGAAGTCATAAGAAGAGATCTTATCTTCCCAGCTTCCTGTAGTCAGCTGAAATGGACTGGTTTTGGCCATTCTGAATCAGACAACCATATGATCTACTATGCCAGCAATGACAAATTAAAGAGGAATGGTGTGGCATTCACTGTCACAAAGATTGTTTCAAGATCTGTCCTGAAGGACAACGCTGTCAGTGTTAGGATAACATCCATGCACCTACAAGAAGACCAGTTAATACTACTAGTATTCAAATTTACACACCAACCACCAAAGCCAAAGATGAGGAAATTGAAGATTTCTACCAACTTCTGCAGTCTGCAATTGATGGAACATGCAATCAAGATGTGTTGATTATCACTGGTTACTAGACTGCAAAAGATGGAAACAAAGAAGAGTTAGCAGTAGTTGGAAAACATGGACTTGGTGACAGAAATGATGCTGGAGATCTCATGATAGAATTTTGCAAGAACAATGACTTATTCGTGGCAAATACCTTTTTCAACAACATAAGCGATGACTAAACACGTGGATTCACCAGATAGAATACACAGGAATCAGCTTGACTACACCTGTGGCAAGAGGCAATGGAGAAGTTCAGTATCTTCAGCCAAAACAAGGCTAGGAGCTGACTGTGGAAGAGACCATCAACTGCTCATATGCACGCTCAAGTTGAAGTTGAAGACAATTAAAACAAGTCCATGAGAGCCAAAATATGACCTTGATAATATCCTTTCTGAATTTAGAGACCACTTAAACAATAGATTTGATGCACTGAACATCAATGACTGAAAGCCAGAAGAATTGAGGGATTACATCAAGAATATCATCCATGAAGAAAGCAAAAGGTCATTAAAAATACAAGAAAAGAAGAAAAGACCAAAATGGATCTCAGAAGAGACTCTGAAACTTCCCCTTGAGCAGAAAGTAGCTAAAACAAATGGAAGAAATGACAAGATAAAAGAGCTGAACAGATCTCAAAGAGCAGCTCGAGCAGACAAAGCCAATTATCATAATGAAATGTGCAAAGACCTGGAGTTAGAAAACCAAAAGGGAAGAACATGCTTGGCATTTTTCAAGGTGAAAGAACTGAGGAAAAAATTTAAGCCTCAAGTTTCAATACTAAAAGATTCTATGGATAAAATATTGAATGATGCAGGAAGCATCAAATGAAGATGGAAGGAATACACAGAGTCACTGTACCAAAAAGAACTGGTTGATCTTCATCCATTTCAGGAGGTGGCATGTGATCAAGAACCAATGGTACTGAAGGAAGAAGTCGAAGCTGCACTGAAGGAATTTGTGAAGAACAAGGCTCCAGGAGTTGATGGAACAGGCATTGAGAAGTTTCCACAAATAGATGCCCCGCTGAAGGAACTCACTCGGCTATGCCAAGAGATTTGGAAAACAGCTACCTGGCCAACTGATTGTAAGAGGTCCATATCTGTTCCAAAGTAAGGTGATCCCACAAAATGTGGAAATTATTGAACAATATCATTGATATCACATGCAAGTAAAATCGTGTTGTTGTTGTTTTTATGTGCCATGGAGTCAGACCCAACTCATAGCGACCCCAAGGCAATATCACTATGGAAGTAGATTGCCCAACCTTCCTCCCAAGGAGTGGCTGGTGGGTTTGAACCTCCAGCTTTCTGGTTAGCAGTCAAGTGCCTTAGGTACTATGCTACCAGAGCTCACTGAAGATAATTCAAGAATGGCTGGAGCAGTATATTGACAGAGAGCTTCCAGAAATGCAAGCTAGATTCAGAAGAGGACATGGAACAAAGGATATCATTGCTGACGTCAGATGGACGTCAGCTAAAAGCAAAGAATACCAGAAAGATGTTTCCTTATGTTTTATTGACTATGCAAAACCATTTAATTGTGTAGATCTTAACAAATTGAGGGTAACATTAAGAAGAACGGGAATTCTAGAACACTTGACTGTACTCATGAGGAACTTGTACATAGAACAAGAGGTTGTCATTCAAAGAGAACAAGGAGATACTGCATGGCTCAAAATCAAGAAGTGAGTACATCAAGGTTGTGTCCTTTCACCATACTTATTCTACTTGTATGCTGAGCAAATAATCTGAGAAGCTGGATTATATGAAGAAGAACATGGCATCAGGATTGCAAGAAGACTCATTAACAACCTGAGATACACAGATGCTTTGCTTGCTGAAAGTGAGGATGACTTGAAGCACTTACTGATGAAGATTAAAGACTACAGTCTGCAGTATGGATTACACCTCAATATAAAGAAAACAAAAATCATCACAAATGGCTTCAGGGTAGATGGAGTAAAGATTGAAGTGTCAAGGATTTCATACTACTTGGTTCTACAATCAACACCAATGGAAGCAGCAGTCAAGACATTAGATGACATATTGCATTGGGCAAATTTGCTGCTAAAGACTTCTTGCAAGTGATGAAAAGCAAAAGTGTCTCCTTGAAGACTAAGGTGTGCCTAACCAAGCCATGGTATTTTCAATCACCTCTTGTGCATGTGGGAGCTAGACAATGAATAAGGAAGATCGAAGAAGAGTTGATGCTTTTGAGTTTTGGTGTTGAAGAAGAATGCTAAGAGTACCATGGTCTGCTAAATGGACTAACAAATCTGTCCTGGAGGAAGTGCAGCCAAAATGCTCCTTGGAAGCAAGAATGGCCAGACTTCGTCTCATCTACTTCGGTGAAGTTGTCAGAAGGAACCATTCCCTGGAGAAGGATATCATGTTTGGTAAAGTGGAGGGTCAATGAAGAAGGTCAAGATCCTCAACAACACAGACAGACACAGTGGCTGCAACAATGGGCTCAGGTATAGCAAGGATGGTGAGGCTGGCACAAGACCAGACAATGTTTCATTCTGCTGTGCACAGGCTCTCTATGAGTCGGAGACAATTCAATGGCACCTAACAACAACAACATCTGGCACTGTATAGATCTGCCCCTATCTTCCTTTCTGTTAATAAGGAAGAAGTGTCAAAAGCTGTCCACTCACACTCTGGATCCCATCCTCTTTTACCTTCCCAAGGACTTAACTCTTACCTGTATTATCAATTTCCTTCTTTGAACTAGAACATTCCCATCCACATAAAAAGGAGCTTTAGAAACTTGATTCTCCCATCCACAGACCAAACAGATTTAGAATGTCAACACACCATTACATAATGAGAACTTTAGGGGCCAGTAGTGTTCCATAGTACAAACTATCAAAGGATACTTCAGAGATATTCAGGCTTTAAGTACGTGCCTTTGATCAATACAGAGAAAGATAAAATTGTGACAGTAGTACTTTATTCTGCCAATAGGAAGCTGCAGTTCCACTAAATGGTCTTAGCATTTTTGTTGGTTTTGGACAAGAAATGATTCACATATTACAGACAGATAATGCTTGCACATGGGTAACATACTTCAACAGGGAGAGGGGTGGGGAATAGATTACCTTACAATGTTTCAAAGCTTCTTTGTATTCTTTGTTTCTGATTGCATCTCTAGCACTTTTTAGAGCAGTCTTCACTTCCTTGCTTGACATCCTGTCAAAACCAAAAGCTGGAGTGAATCTACAATAATACCTACTTAACCTTAAAAGTTCCAATAAACTTAACTATCTGAAAAAAAAAAAAAAATCATGTGATTCCTCCTAACTCCAACACTCTTCCTCCTTAATATACACAATATACACATAGCTTACATCCTCACCCCTTCAGATTTTTACTCAAAGGTAACTTTCTCAATGAAATCTTCCTTGTGCAAGTATTTAAAATTGCAACACTTCCTTCTCCTCTGCCCCAACCACTCAACATTCTCTTAATGCCTTTCCATGTTTTATTTTTCTTCAAAGTACTTATCACCATCTAATACACTATAGATTTTACCAAGACTTTGAACAAGTTCACTCTGGGGCAAGACCCTACTGAGAATTTGCCTTTCCACCCTAGATTTAACAAGATGCCCGGGTGTTTCTCATAGATGTATATGTAAGAACCGCCTGGGGATCTCACTAAAATGTAGATTATGACTCAGTGTATTTGGGTGGGAAGGGGAATTCTCAGGAGCGGGTTAAACCAAAATGAATTGGTTCAAAGCACTGGATTTATTTTTCTTATTTATTATTTCCGAATGTCTCATATACATTATCTCAATCTTTTCTCTTACCTTTCTCTTACAAATGATAATCCAGGCTAAATTTTTAATCATCTGTATCCTTCTGTGCATAAAGAATTAGATGAAATGCTACATTATATAGGACACTTTCATGAAGAGAATTAAAAATTTGCAGGCATAATGACTTAAAGTATACAGATAAGGCTAACAAAATTATCCATTGTTTTAACATGAATCCATAAACCAAAACCAAACCAAACTCACTGCCATCATGTCTATTGACTTACAGTGACCCCCACTGAGTTCCCAAGGCTGTTAATCTCTACGGAAGCAGACTGTCTCATCTTTTTTCCATGGAGCAGCTGGTGGGTTAAAACCACTGATCTTTTGGTTAACAGTCAACTTCCTTAACCACTACATAATCAATCCACAGCACACATAAATAAGTACTTTTGTCTTTTTGTTTTTGTTTTTCCCCACTGCCTTAACTATAGTACCTAGAATGGTATCTGGCAAATTGTAGATGATCCATATATATTTATTGATAATCAGTTGCATTTGAATTATACTCACTCTGTATACACGAGACTAAAGCTTATTTTATGGACCAGGACCCAAAACACATACCAATCTCAGTCCAATTCCACACAAAGCAAGAGCCAATAAAATAAGTCAAATTCACAGAGTACAACACTAACCCAAATTTCCTTAACTATGATGTGAGAATTTTAGAATGTCATTTATCCATTCTGTTTTAATACTAGTTTCTGTAAAATGTAAACCATAATATTAACTTTACTTTCCTTATAGTCAGGATAAGTGTAAACCAAAAAAACCAAACTCACTGCCAACGAGTTGTTTCTGACTCATAGAGAACCCCATTGAGTTTCCAAGGCTACAAATCTTTACAGAAGTAGATTGCCCCATCTTCCTTCCATGGAGCAGCTGGTGGGTTTGAACCACTGACCTTCCAGTTAGCAGTCAAGTGCCTTATCCACTATGCCACTGGAGGTCAAAGTATTAGCATAAGATCATTATTTTCATTAAGGGGTTATGGTGGAGCTTTGGTTAAGTACTCATCTGCTAACCAATAGGTTGGAAGTTCAAAGCACCAGCTGCTCTGCAAGGAGAAAAACACTGTTGACCTGTTCCTTTAAAGATTACATCCTAAAAATCCCTATGGGGCAGTTCTACTCTATCCTATAGGGTCACTATGAATCAATTACTTCCTTTGAAGTGAAGCACAATGTTTACATATGAACAGAAGCAATGAATTTACGAAAATATTAAACACTAATTTCAGCAGCAAGATGGGGCAATCTACTTCCAAAGTGATACTGCCTCGGAAGCCCAAGGAAGGGTCACTATGAGTCGGGTCCGACTTGACAGCACATAACAACAACAACAATTTCAGCAATAAAGAGATATTTCAGTTACTAAGCAAAATATTTCTTCATTTAATCTTAAGACATACCAATTTATTTAGTTAATATTTAAATAAATAAATAGATACATCTTCAGATTTCATAACGTATTCTAGTTTACTAGTAAACAAATCATATTCAACCACAATTCAATGTTAAAAGAAAAGAAATGTGTCTATTTATTGCTAACTTCAAGGAGCTCCAGTAGCACAGTGACTAAGGCATCTGACTGCTAACCAGAAGGTTGGTGGTTCAAACCCAGCAGCCACTCCTTGGAAACAAGACTGGGCAATATATTTCTGTAAACATCTACTGCCTTGGAAACCCAATGGGGGTCCCTATGAGTCAGAATAGACTCGATGGCAGTGGGTTTGGTTTTTTCATTGCTATCTCTATTTACTTGTAATCTCATCAGGAAGATAAAACAAAGCTGGGTAAATATTAAGGAGGTAGAGATATTCAAGGTAATAAAATGAACCAAGACAACAGATTGCTAACATGGTACACTGACAGTCTTCATATCCAAAGAAGAGACTAATATAGAAGTGCAAGACCAAAGAAGTGTGAGAAGTTATTAAAAAAAAAAATCCTTTTGACTTAATGGATGATGGCATTAAAAATAATATAAAAATTAAGATATCACAAAGTCACTTCATCTGCAGTCAGAACCAGATTTTCAAAATAGGTAGAAAAGTGGTTTTTTGTCTAATTTATATATAGTATATATATAAATATGTATAGTTAATATACATATGTCTAGTTAGTATATATATAAAGCAATATATTTGCTCTAATTTTAAAATTAGTGCCTTATCTGAAATTATCTTTGATAAATTTATTGGTGAAAATGTCAGTAGAATTTATGTGGTCTACAAGTCTTGATTAGAGTAAGCAACAAACTTCAATGCTGATGTCACATTCAATTTTCTCTAGTCAAAGTGCCCCTAAGTAGATTAAAAGAACAGGGCAAGTCAATGATGGTGACAGTTGATGTCGACCAATAAAGAGTGATTAAAAAAACAAAAAGACAGCCAATGAAAAATCAAGAGATGTCCAACTTCAAAAGAAAAAAAAAATAGTTTAAAGGTGAGACCAAACAAATAAAAGAATGCAAATTTTCCAGGACTAAAATCACTATTTCTTCTATCACCCAACATTTAAGAGGCACCACATGTGAGCAAGGTAGAACCAACCAGCACTAACACAAGTACAGCTACCAAGCTATATGCTGCACATAAGAGAAAATAGAAGAGAGGCCCCTGCTATAAAGAATAAAACATCAATCAAGAGAGGGACCTAATGCATATTAGTCATTAAAGAATCAACAGCTAAACTAATGGTAATGAGTGGAAGTGCAATCGACATTCAAACAAGTGTGGCATGAAGTAATTAATGGCTACTACATGGAGAAGACAAGACTTAAGAAAGGAAGAAAGGAAAATTACTCTGTTGTTGTTGTTGTTTGTTGTCGAGTCGGACCTGACTCATAGCGACCCCTCCTTGGGTTTCCGAGGCAGTATCACTACAGAAGTAGATTGCCCCATCTTCCTTCGGATGAGTGGCTGGTGGGTTTGAACCGCCACTTCTGGTTAGCAGAAGTGCCTTAGGCACTATGCTACCAGAGCTCCTTGAAAATTACTCTAGTCAGAGTTATTAGCAAAGTCAGAGAGGTAGGCATATGTGACATGTGTAAGCAACAATGAAAAAACTAGGCTGAATGGAACAGAAGAGATTATCTGAAGAACAAGAAACTCAGGTTGGGTTAGGTAAATAGGGTATGTTGTTGTTGTTGTTATGTGCTGTCGAGTCAGCCCTGACTCATAGGTATGTTGTTGTTGTTGTTATGTGCTGTCGAGTCAGCCCTGACTCATAGCGACCCCTCCTTGGGTTTCTGAGGCAGTATCACTACGGAAGTAGGATTGCCCAACCTTCCTTCCGAGGAGTGGCTGGTGGGTTTGAACTGCCAGCCTTCTGGTGAGCAGGCAAGTGTCTTAACCACTATGCTACCAGAGCTCCCAAATAGGGTATAGTTTACAGAAATCCTTGAAAGTCAGAGGGACAAGTTTGGACTTAAATACAGAAGCAAATAAGGAGTCATTAAATGCTTCTAAATAGGTTATTTTTAAGGACCACAAGAAACAAATTCCAATTTTCTCTCAGTAATCAATTCTGAGAGAGCTGAATATGGGAGCTCTGGTAACGTAGTGCCTAAGGCACTTGACTGCTAACCAGAAGACTGGCAGTTCAAACCCACCAGCCACTCCTCGGAAGGAAGGTTGAGCAATCTACTTCCGTAGTGATACTGTATCGGAAACCCAAGGAGGGGTCGCTATGAGTCGGGGCCAACTCGACGGCACATAACAACAACAACAATCAATTCTTAATGCTCAATACCCTTCCATATCTGTATATCTGTCCATATGCAGTTACAGTTCTTCATGCTGCAGTGGTACCCTTCCATTCTTTTTACCAACTCCTTCTTCATGTGATTTGACATTCAGCATAATATGCTAGCACTGAAGTCCTCTCTTTTCCTCTAACATTTATGCATATATGTGCAGGTGGTCACTACAGGGTCACTGTGAGTTGGAATCAACTAGGTTTGGTTTATGGTAAGTATATCAATTACAAAAGGTTAACTAAGTTTTTTTTCTCTTTTTTAAAGAAATAATTTATTGTGTTTTAGATCAAATTTTACACAGTAAATTAGACTGTCATCCAAAAATTCATATACAAATTGCTCTGTGACACTGGTTACAATCCCCGTAATGTGTCAGCAGCACTTAGACCATTTCCATGCCATGTGCCCCATCTATCCAGCTTCCCTGCCCCTCTTTACTTTTTCATCTTTGCTTTTAGGTAAACGTTGACTGTGTGGTCTCATATAGTTGACTGTTTAAAGAAGCATATTCTTCATGGGTGTTACTATATATTTTATAGGCCAACCTATTATTTGGCTGAAAGTGACCTCTGGGAAGAGCTTCAGTTCCAGCTTACGCTAGCC